CCCTCTTGCGGCCGACTTGCAGACTCGCGACAAGACGACCAACACCGCGACAAAGAAAGAAACGGCCAAGTCGAATGCTGGCGATCGTTCCGCCAGAAATCGTGCCAGAAATCGTGAGCGAAGAAAACCATATCGACAAATGTGAGCGACGACCCTTTAGAGTCAGCGATATTTCAAACAAATAATGTGCTGGCGTCGGCGTCACGCAAGGACGCAGGAAAACACTGAAACGAAACGCCTGGAACTGCACTGCAATGCGAGTTGGCCGCTACGATGTTTGTACCATCTCAACAGTCAGCTCAGGACAACATGAGGCTGACTCCTTATACAGCCTAAGGGTTAACCTCCTTCTTGCCAATTAACCATTACAATCTCGTGAGGCTGGAAAGCTCAGTCTTGAAGCATGCTGACAGAGACGAAACATTCGCTTATGCTGCGCTTACACGATGTGGGATGGTCGTAGCTATGTTTGCACCCCGTCCACAGTCAGATTTGGGAAACACGAGGCTGACTCCCTAAGGGCTGCAGATTACCAATCTCGCATGCCAATTATCCACAACATCCTCGGAAGCCTGGAAACATGGATCTTCAAACATGCTGGCAAAACAATACATCACTGGCTGCTCCCGCACTAACATGGTGAGGTGGGCCATAGCGCTGAATTCACCCCGTCCACAGTCAGCTCCTGGCAACACGAGGCTGACTCCCTGAGGGCTGCAGACTACCGATCTCGCATGCCAATTATCCACCACAACCTCGTGAACCTGGAAAGATGGATCTTCAAGCATGCTAGCAAACAAATTCATCGTCCGCTTTCGCACTAACAATGTGAGGTGGCCGTTACGCTGTTTGCACCCCGTCCACGGTCAGCTCCTGACAACATGAAGCTGACTCCCTAAGGGCTGCGAATTACCGATCTCGCATGTCAATTATCCACCACATCCTCGTGAGCCTGGAAAGATGGATCTTCAAGCATGCTGGCACATACAGCATCGGCTGCTGCCACACTAGCAATGTGAGGTGGGCCATCGGGCTGTTTTCAACCCGTCCACGGTCAGCTCCGGGCAACACGAGGCCGACTCCCTAAGGGCTGCAGATTACCGATCTCGCATGCCAATTATCCACCGCATCCTCGCGAACCTGGAAAGATGGATCTTCAAGCATGCTGGCAACAGCACGTCATCCTCTGATGATGCACTAACATGGTGAGGCTGCAATAAGGCTGTTTGCACCTGTCCACAATCAGCGCGGGGCAACACGAAGCTGACTCCCTGAGGGCTGCAAAGTACCACCGATCTCGCATGCAAATGATCCATATCCTCGGGACACTGGACAGATGGATCTTCAAGCAAGCTGGCAAACACACATTATCCACTACTCTTGCGTCACTAACATTACAGGGTGGCCATAACGCTTTTTGCACCCCGTCCACAGTCAGCTCCGGGCAACACGAGGCTGACTCCCTAAGGGCTGCGACTTACCAATCTCGCATGACAATTATCCACAACATCCTCGTGAGCCTGGAAAGATGGATCTTCAAACATGCTGGCAATACATCACCGACTGCTGCCGTACTAACAAGATGAGGTTGGCCAGAGCGCTGCTTTCGCCCCGTCCACAGTCAGCTCCTGGCAACACGAATCTGACTCCCTAAGAACTGCAGATCATGGCCGTAACGTAACGCTGTTTGCACCCCGTCCACAGTCAGCTCCTGGCAACACGAGGCTGACTCCCTGAGGGCCGCAGATTACCGATCTCGCATGCCAATTATCCACCACAACCTCGTGCGCCTGGAAAGATGGATCTTCAAGCATGCTGGCAAACAAATTCATCGTCTGCTTTCGCACTAACAATGTGAGGTGGCCGTTACGCTGTTTGCACCCCGTCCACAGTCAGCTCCTGGCAACACGAATCTGACTCCCTAAGAGCTGCAGATCATGGCCGTAACGTAACTCTGTTTGCACCCCGTCCACAGTCAGCTCCTGGCAACACGAGGCTGCCTCCCTGAGGGCCGCAGATTACCGATATCGCATGCCAATTTTCCACCACAACCTCGTGCGCCGGGAAAGATGGATCTTCAAGCATGCTGGCAAACAAATTCATCGTCTGCTTTCGCACTAACAATGTGAGGTGGCCGTTACGCTGTTTGCACCCCGTCCACAGTCAGCTCCTGGCAACATGAGAAGCTGACTCCCTAAGGGCTGCATATTACCGATCTCGCATGCCAATTATCCACCACATCCTCGTGAGCCTGGAAAGATGGATCTTCACGCATGCTGGCAAACACATACATCACCGGCTGCTGCCACACTAGCAATGTGAGGTGGGCCATCGGGCTGTTTTCAACCCGTCCACGGTCAGCTCCGGGCAACACGAGGCCGACTCCCTAAGGGCTGCAGATTACCGATCTCGCATGCCAATTATCCACCACATCCTCGCGAGCCTGGAAAGATGGATCTTCAAGCATGCTAGCAAAAGCACGTCGTCCGCTGCTGATACACAAACAATGTGAGGCTGCAGTAGGGCTGTTTGCACCCGTCCACAGTCAGCGCGGGGCAACACGAAGCTGACTCCCTGAGGGCTGCGAATTACCAGTCTCGCATGTCAATTATCCACAACATCCTCGGGACACTGGACATATTGATCTTCAAGCAAGCTGGCAAACACACATGATCCACTACTCTTGCGTCACTAACATTGCAAGGTGGCCATAATGCTGTTTGCACCCCGTCCACCGTCAGCTCCGGGCAACACGAGGCTGACTCCCTAAGGGCTGCGACTTACCAATCTCGCATGACAATTATCCACCACATCCTCGTGAGCCTGGAAAGATGGATCTTCAAACATGCTGTCAAAACAATACATCACCGGCTGCTGCCGTAGTAACAAGATGAGGTTGGCCACAGCGCTGCTTTCACCCCGTCCACAGTCAGCTCCTGGCAACACGAATCTGACTCCCTAAGAGCTGCAGATCATGGCCGTAACGTAACGCTGTTTGCACCCCGTCCACAGTCAGCTCCTGGCAACACGAGGCTGACTCCCTGAGGGCCGCAGATTACCGATCTCGCATGCCAATTATCCACCACAACCTCGTGCGCCTGGAAAGATGGATCTTCAAGCATGCTGGCAAACAAATTCATCGTCTGCTTTCGCACTAACAATGTGAGGTGGCCGTTACGCTGTTTGCACCCCGTCCACAGTCAGCTCCTGGCAACATGAAGCTGACTCCCTAAGGGCTGCAAATTACCGATCTCGCATGCCAATTATCCACCACATCCTCGTGAGCCTGGAAATATGGATCTTCACGCATGCTGGCAAACACATACATCACCGGCTGCTGCCACACTAGCAATGTGAGGTGGGCCATCGGGCTGTTTTAAACCCGTCCACGGTCAGCTCCTGGCAACACGAGGCCGACTCCCTAAGGGCTGCAGATTACCGATCTCGCATGCCAATTATCCACCACATCCTCGCGAGCCTGGAAAGATGGATCTTCAAGCATGCTAGCAAAAGCACGTCGTCCGCTGCTGATACACAAACAATGTGAGGCTGCAGTAGGGCTGTTTGCACCCGTCCACAGTCAGCGCGGGGCAACACGAAGCTGACTCCCTGAGGGCTGCGAATTACCAGTCTCGCATGTCAATTATCCACAACATCCTCGGGACACTGGACATATTGATCTTCAAGCAAGCTGGCAAACACACATGATCCACTACTCTTGCGTCACTAACATTGCAAGGTGGCCATAACGTTGTTTGCACCCCGTCCACCGTCAGCTCCGGGCAACACGAGGCTGACTCCCTAAGGGCTGCGACTTACCAATCTCGCATGACAATTATCCACCACATCCTCGTGAGCCTGGAAAGATGGATCTTCAAACATGCTGTCAAAACAATACATCACCGGCTGCTGCCGTACTAACAAGATGAGGTTGGCCACAGCGCTGCTTTCGCCCCGTCCACAGTCAGCTCCTGGCAACACGAATCTGACTCCCAAAGAGAGATGCAGATTATGGCCGTAACGTAACGCTGTTTGCACCCCGTCCACAGTCAGCTCTGGGCAACACGAGGCTGACTCCCTAAGGGCTGCGAATTACCAATCTCGTATGTAAATTATTCACCACATCCCCATGCGCCTGGAAAGATGGAACTTCAAGTATGCTGGCAGCACAAATACATCATCGTCTGCTGCCGCACTAGCAATGTGAGGTGGCCGCAACGCTGTTTGCACCCCGTCCAGTCAGCTCTGGGCAACACGAGGCTGACTACCTGAGGGCTGCAGATCACCGATCTCGCATGCCAATTATCCGCCACATCCTCGGGACACTGGAAAGATGGATCTTCAAGCAAGCTGGCAAACACACATTATCCACAACTCTTGCGTCAGAAACATTGCCAGGTGGCCATAATCTTGTTTGCACCCCGTCCACAGTCCGCTCCGGGCAACACGAGGCTGACTCCCTAAGGGCTGCGAGGTACCATTCTCACATGCCAATTATCCACCACATCCTCGGAATCCTGGAAGCATGGATCTTCAAGCATGCTGGTAAATACAATCCGTTGCTGCTGCACCACCACAATGTGGGGTGGCCGTACCGCTGTGTTAGCACCACGTCCAGATTCAGCTACTGGCAACACGAGGCTGGCAACACAAATACATCATCGTCTGCAGCCGCACAAACAATGTGAGGTGGCCGCAGCGCTGTTTGCACCCCGTCCACAGTCAGCTCTGGGCAGCACGAGGCTGACTCCCTGAGGGCTGCAGATCACCGATCTCGTATGCCAATTATCCAACACATCCTCGGGACACTAGAAAGATGGATCTTCAAGCATGCTGGAAAACACACATCGACCGCTGCTGCTGCTGCATTAAAGCAACGTTGGGTAGCCGCAGCGCTGGGCGCACCCGTCCATTTCTTCACGCCGCAGAAACAGAAAACGCGAATTAATCGGAGGCAGGATGACAAGACGGACGGAAGCGGCCGAGCACCCCGTCCACGAGCAGATCCAGCAATCACGAGGCTGACTCCCCAAGGGCTGCGAAGGCACCCTTCGTGCATGCAAATTATCCACCACATCTTTGAGGGCCTGGAAAATCAATCATCCGCTGGTGCTCCACTAACATGCGTGGGGTGCCCAGAGCACTGTTTGCACCCCGTCGGAAATCAACCCAAGCTTATGCGAGGCTGACTCCTGCAGGCTGCGGAACGCCCGTCTCGCATGCCAATTATCCACCACATCCTCGGGAGCCTGGAAAGATGGATCTTCAAACATGCTGGCCAAAATACGTCATCCGGTGCTGCTGCACGAACAGGAGTGCGGAGGCCGCAACGCTGTTTGCACCCGGGCCACGCGAGACTGACTCTGGAATACCCCAGTCGTATACCAATTATCAATCACATGCTCGTGAGACTGGCAAGATGGATCTTCAAGCATACTGGCAAAGACACATCCGTTCGCTGCTGCACTAACACAATGTGGGGTGGCCGTAGTGGTGTGTGCAACCCGGACAGCCGTACAGCCAGCTTCGGGCAAAGCGATGCTGACTCCCAATGGGCTGCGGAATGTCCCTCCTGGCATGGCAATGATTCACCGCACCCTCGTGAGACTGGAAAGATGGATCCTCAAGCATTCTGGCAGAGATGCATCATCGGCCGCTGCACGAGCGCGCCGTTGACACTACGTCGACAGTTAGCTCTGGGTTATACGAGGCTGAATCCCAATTGAAGGCAAGCAACGCCACAGCATTAACATTACATCCACGTTAGTAAAGCTTCTCTCTGCTATTTTCATTTTTATATACACCCGCCAAATCATACATTCACATTGTTAAAGCTTCTCTCAAGGGCCTGCGGCCCGACGCCCGCCGTCGGCCGCTCGTGCCTCGGGCGAGGCCCCTGTAAATATGCAGAGCACGCAGCTGCCAAGCAGCGGGCAACACCGCCTTCAGCTGACCAGAAGCTGGTTTCATGAACGCCCTACACTTTCGAAAACAAAGCGTGGCATGCGCGAGTGTTCCTGGAACGCTGCTCAAATCGTGTTTGCATGCTCATGTTTTTGCACATTGCTCATACAGGAAAACGCGAACTTGATTGCACGCACTACGAGGTATTATAGTAAGGAGCACGAAACACCTGTTATATGGATCGACGTATGGAAGCATACATAGGGAAATTAGTTCGGTTCGGCCGATAAATTCACAGGCGTTCCGAACATATGTAAAAATTGTTCTGGTGGGTGTGAGGGTGGGTTGTTGCCTCTTGACCTGTGGGCTGCGGAACACCCGTCTCTCATGCCAATTACCCACCACATCCTCGGATACCCGGGGAGATGGATCTTCAAGCATGCTGGCAAAGATACGTCATCCGCTGCAAATGCACTAACAATGTGGGGTGGCCGAAACGCTGTTTGCACCCCGTCGACAATCAGCTCCGGGCGGCGCGAGAATGACTCCCCATGGGCTGGGGGGGTACCCCTCTCATATGTCAATTTTCTATCACGTCCTCGTGGGCCTGGACGAATGGGTGTTCAAGCGTGATTGCAGTTGTATGCCATAGCCCCCCGCAGTTGCGGATCAGAGGAAGGAGGCGGCAGGGCCGTCGGCAGTCTGCGAAGCTCTGAAGCAGCCCGTCACAGGTGCCGATTTTGATACATTGCACAAAGGCCGCAGGCGTCGAATTTTCATCAAAACACTGTGCGTGGGTCGCGGGCGGGTCGCGGGTGGGTCCCGAGGTGGGTTGCGGGGGGGCTCGCGGGGTGGGTCGCGTGTGCGTCGCGGCTGGGTCGCAGGCGGGTCGAGATCGAGGAGGACGGCAACTGCAACAACAACTACAACAACAGCAACAATAACAGCAACAATGAGCACAAACATAATCCGCACCGCGGAATCCCACTTCAGCCACGCACGCAGGGTCGGTGTAAGACCGTTCGACCACCTCACTCTGACATTCATATCTACATCTATGTGTAGAGGGAGGTGAAAGAAAAAGGAAGAGATATAGAAATATGGATAGCTACCACCCGCCGTTGCAACAATGGATCGCAGGATGCCGCCCGCACTATTGCAGAACTCTGTCTCGACTGGGGTGAGAACACAACTCGACGCCTCATTGCAACATCTCTACGTCAAAGCATGAACGCTCTGACATGTTTCCATCCTCTTTCCTCGTCCACGCGGCAACATGCCTCAAAGCCTCTTGCGGAACCCTCGTGCCGAAGAGGATCCCGAAGGGGCCTCAGACGGGACCCTCTGAGGGCTCCCGCAGGAATGCGCGACGAAGATTCCTGCAAGGGCTGGTGGGAGCGCGCAACACATAAACACATCCAATGTCTCTGCGTGCCCATTCCGCGTTATGCATGCATTACATGTCCGCATGTCATACGCACAGACGGGCGCTCCAAAATGCTTTCGTTGCGGTGGCCGATCTCAGCAGCAATAATCTTCCCTCCGATCTTAATGCATCCCCGCACCGAGCGCCTATGCTGTTCTTGAGGTCAGCTGCCTTCATGTCAGTCTGTGCCTTGCGGAGGCATCGGACGCTACCATTAACTGCAGGCAACATCCCCGACTCATGCCTCGTCTCCCCAACGTTCCTTTGGCCCTCGTTCTGAACTCCCGCCCTCCAGTCTCCCACTCCCTCTTCCGTTCCCTCATTCCACTGTGTATCCATATGCTTGTATGCGTGGGGATGCTCGTGCACTTGTGCATCCGCCAGCGCGCCCGCTCAGGCTGCTGCAAGTGAATGTGTGTAGCCTGCCTGCAACAATAATGCTGCAGATAGGCTAATAACGTAATCCCATCCACACGCAGTGATACTCAAAAGGCCCTTGTATACATAACAATCATCCACACTGAGTGCTGCTGCAAGGCAACGGTGCGGGCCCAAAACCCGCAACTGCCAAGATTCCTGCGCGCTCTCATGCGCCTGTTCGCGTTCGTGGGGTTTGGCTGAACATCGTGTTGCCGTCCTCGTTGGCTCGCCCTCATCCCCAAGCCCCCGACGTCGGGATATTTCCGCCACGTCGTGGTTTTTGATGGCTTTCATCCCGCGCCGTTTTTGATGGCCTCGAAGCCACCACTGCTCCAACACATCCAGTGCAGTCTTCTTTCGGCGCGAGGGGATAAATGCGGGGTGGGGGGTTTGGGGGGGGAAGGTCGACTTGCAGACAAATCCAAAACGCGTCTCGGCCAGGATCTCAGAAGGAATCCAGCCGCGGCGACGAGAACGCCCCAGAAGCCCGAAATGAGTACGGACAAAAATGGTACAATGCCCAACAACGCTTTTTGTGCAAATTCGACAGCGGCGCCGTTGTTGGTCAGTCGGCCTCTTGTCTCGAATGGACAACGTCCGCGGCGACACCGACAACGATCCTCGTTCGAGGTGGGCAGTACTTAGCTGCTGCCAGTCATCGTCTCAATTCTCTCTTCCTTGACATGAAATCAGCGCGCCTCGAGGGAAACGGTTCCTGGACCCCGGGGCCCTTCCTTGGGATCAACTGTTCATCCTGAGTCGTGTTTGAACCCACCTGGGGCCTGCGGAGGGCCCCGAGAGTCCGAAAGCTACCGAAAACCTCGCGTCCTGTTTCCCTCATGAGTATCGTTTAGCCGATTCCCATCCCTAGCGGCGTGACATGGGCCCCACTGGCCGATTTACCCCCTAGATGGGGATATAGGTCGTTCCCTGCGGGTTTCGAGGGGATGGGGATGGGGATGGGGATCGGTTAAACGATACCGACCTCAGGAGCCGTTCGCTCCGTGGCGAACTCCGATCGCACCGTCCGAGCCCGCCGGCGAGGGGACCGCCGCGCGGGCCGCCCCAGCGCAGCCTCGGCCTCGGAGGTCGGCTGGCGGACCTGCCGCGCGCGGCGCGCTGCCACCGGGCCCGGTCGCAGCTCCGGCCGGGGGGGGGCGGGGGGCGGGGCTCGAAGCGCGGCCAACTTCTCCTTGGCGGCGCGCACAAGGTGGTGGAGGTAGGGGAGGGCTCCTTAGAAGGAGGCTGTTTCTTAGAAGGCGCCAGCCTTACATCTGTTGATAAGGCCCGCGCCTTCTAAGAAGCAGGGGTGCTTCCAAGATGATCCTCTCGTGAATGATTATCTTGATAATTTCTTTCCTCCACAGCTCGCGCCAGCAGCACAACAATCTCTATCCAGATATCGATAGCCCCTGATGGGCTGTACACAAGTCACTCACTTGGTGAGTGTGTGGCCTATCGGCCGGCTGGGACTCAAGGGCGTCCTCGAGCCGGAACGGCAGAGGGCACGACAAAGATCAGAGAGGCAATACAACATATAAATCACACAGGGGGAACATATTTTGCTTCTAGATCCCTACGAACTTCAAGCACAGTGGCAGCACTATTCTGGCATGGAACCTCGCGAAGCGAGCAGATATAAAACCACATCTCGCGTTAGCGATCAGATATCATAGACAAGAAATCCCCGCGAAGCGGGCTGAAAAATTAACATATGAACGAAATCACCGCGAAGCGGGATAAAATAACATATGAACGAAATCACCGCGAAGCGGGAAAAAAAACATATGAACGAAATCGCCGCGAAGTGGGGCGAAATCGGCTGGCGAGATAATTCCTGTGAGAAGAATGCAACACAACTCGCAAGAGCGAAATATATGAATCGAAACCACACATCTGAACTCAAGTCTCAGCTGGATCTTGCGGTTCCTCGGCGAGCGGCGGCTTCTCGGCCAACATGTCGAGCCCTCGAAACGCTCGCTTCCTCGCTGACTCGAACTCCGGGTCGTGAATTAGCGTCCAGTAGCTCCTGCACATGAAAACGTCTGGCAGCTTCTGCGCCTCGCGCTTGATCTTAGCGCATCCGTCGGCCACCTGCGCCTGAGAAGGAACCCATCTGAGTTCGGCACCGCACTCTTGAACTCCTTGCTTGAACGCCACGCACTCAATGGCAGCGCGCTTGTCGCTGAGACCAAGCGCTGAGCTCTCTGAGCCAATAACTGCATCGTATAGGCTCTTGCAGGCGGTCACTAGCACGCTCATAGGCCCCTGCTTGATCATCTCGTAACGCTTGTCGCCTTTGAGCTGCACACATGCGCTCAACATCTCCATCCAGGCCAGCTGCGTGTACTCCAGCTCCTCCGCGGCCTCGCTAGCTGCTTGGATCTCTGCACCCTATGATGCACGGCACTTGCGCGTCAGCTTCTTGGAAGCACCTGTGACACTGTGAACTTCTGCTTCTTGCCGCTGAGCGCCCCCACCTAGGTCGCGCAAATCACGTAGCCTCCTTGACTGCCCCCATCTGCCCTCGAACACCACGATGCATCAAACCAACAAACCCAAGCCATCTGCTTATAGGGGTGTCTGGTAACTCCAGTACTCGCAAACTCATGGACCGTCTTGACTAGCTGGTTGATCCTGCCGAGGTCCTTGACCGTCGCGCTGTTGACCACTGCCTGCAGCATCGAGACATAAACTGCGATATGCGGCGTCGTCTGTGTAGAAAGCCACTGAGCTTGTCCAAAGATAGATCTGCATGCTGTAACTTCTCCGGCTGTCAATTTGTCGTCCAGGCTCGCCTTGCGGCCTCGCTTGACGTTGATCGGCTGGATGGTCTTGGCGTACGTTTCTTGACTTAGCCTGGAACCTCCATCTGGGTTATTGGAAACTTCAACTCCACAAACTGAATAACCATCTTCATCTGACTTCCACATGCCCCATCGATATAGCGTCTTGAGATGCCCATGCCCCATTTGGAACTTAACGTCGGCGGGGTCACGTGCGTCCACGTATGCTGCAGAGCATTGCGAAACTCCTCGCCCGATCTCATGAGTCGGCCCTTGAGGTTGAGCTTGCCGCCGCTGCGTCGAGTACCTGCATCGACGATGCATGTCCCTGCCCAGGTCTGCTCGTCACGAAGATCTGTCCAGTAGAAGCCATCCGTCTCGATCGCCTGACCAGGCGTGGCCGGGCTGTGCGGCGCGACCACCGACTCCATCGGCTTGTTCTTGTGACGTTCGCAAGCCTCGCATCTGAACTCAGCTGCCAGCTTCAAGATAGGGCCTTGAGCACCAGCCCCCTTGAGAACGTCCGTGAGAGTCTTGTTGCTGCGATGCCTGCCCTGTGGCTCGCAATGTGGAGGCGGTGGTGGATCCTGATCTTCAGCTGGGCCGGGTGCTGGATCAGGCAGTTGCTCTTGTGGATCCCCAGGTCTCTTGTAGTAGAGGCGCGTCCTCGTATGGCTCGTGCCTTCCAGCAGCGGGGCGTGCATCTCTTCGTCGGTCAGGATACTCTCATCCAGCTCGTCGCCAATGAGCGCGTTGGTGTCGAGGTCCCAGGTAAGCCTCCGTACCACAGAAAGCCAGTCAGGGCCCTCGGTGTCTGTTCCCATGCAGGTCTTGAATGTTCTCGCCCTCGCGCTCCCAGCACTCGAACTCGCCCTTGGGATCGATGTCGAGCTCGGCCTCCATTTCCGTCTCCAGCCTCTGCGCCTTGGGCAGCGGCTGCTTCCCGACCAGGCGCCGCTTGGTGGCGTGCACGGCCTCGCTGAACTCCGTCTCGAAGTCGCCTCCTGCCCGCGCGCGCCAAGTGGGCCACTCCGCACTTCTCATGATAGACTTGGCCCACTTCTTGCACATCGCTGTCGGGTAGGCTGCGGTGAACTCGGCAACCTTGCCCTGAATATCCTCGTGCTTGTGGTTGTGTGGGCTGCCTCGCTGATTTGAGCACGTCCTGCCGATCGTCGCATTTAGGTGCTGGTCGGACGTCGCTATCAGCCACTCCTTCTTGATCAGCTCGCCCGTCTCCGGATATCTCAACCCATAAGCACACCCGTCCACTCGCACAGTGAACAGCTGTTCTCGAAGGCGCTCGAGGTAGGGCAATGACCAGGTCCCGCACTTCAGCGGCTGCTCGAAGTCCACTTCAGCTCCCTGATGTAATGCTTGGAAAGCAAATAGCACGCAAGCCGGGTGACCTTGTCGTTCTTCCTGCGCTTCGCCTGGAGACGTAGACGTTGTTATTATGTCCTCTGGTTGGCGTTCTGCATGATCGATCTGGCCGCACATGGTGGTGAGAAGACGGCCCTTCTCGGATTCTCCATCTTCAGCGTCTCCGAGGCTCTTCGGTAGCCCGTGTTGGTCGTCAGATCGTACTCGTTGTGCTTCCCGAGTCGAATGACGGTGCCGCCGAGCTTTTCGACCTCCACGCCAAGCTTGGAGTCTGGGGGGGGGCACAGACCTCTGGCAAGTCCAGCTGCACAAGTCGAAGTAGTTCTTGAGCATCCTTAGCAGCTGCCGCCTCGAACTCCGTGATCTTACGGTTGAGCATGTAGATCTGCGCGGTGCTGAGCGTCTTCACCTGACCAGCCGCATGGCGGCCCGGATCGCCCTCCTCTGGAGCCTCTTGGCTTCCGCGTCCAAGATCAGGTCGGTCAGTCTCAGCCAATGGTCGACGCCCCTGATCTCTTCGAGAAAGTTCTAGCAGCTGTCCTCCGGCACTGGGACGTCTTCCATCTCTTGCTTCATCTTCTCCATGTGCTCTGTCAGGGTCTCCTTCGCCGGGTCCCAT